ATTTTTTTTCCCCCACTGTGTATCCAGGCTAGCTGTCGTGTGAGCACCCACAGATCCCTTCCCTGCCTCCCATCTTTTCGGGAGAGTATTGGGGTCACAGACAGATACACCACTATGTCCGATTCTGTATTTCGAGAATCTATGCCCAGGTCCTTAGGCTCGCACATCAAGCGCTTTACGCAATGGGCCACCTCCCCAGCCCATGGCAGCACATCTTTGGCGTCCTGAGCCCCTGTTCTGTGTGGATCACCGTGCCTTTCATCTTGGTTCTTAAGCCCAGTGGCTTATCACACTGAAAGTGAAGCACTCTGAGGCCCAGAAACCCACAGTATCTGCGGTTTCTCACTCTCCGCCGGGGCAGAAAGTGTTAGACTGTGGGGTTGAAGTCGGAATCGGGGCAAAAGTTTCTTCGGATTCTACCAGTACCCAGGTTTCCAGCCGAGTTCTTAAATCACATTCTGCCTCATAATCTGAAGAAACCGCCTTGATTTTCCTTGCTTTTAACACCTTGCTCAGCCCATCACCTCAGCACTGTTTTTACCAAGAGGGCAAGTTGCACAGGAAGGAGAGTGTGCTTATAAAGCAATTAAACAGTGAGTCTTGTTTTTATGATAGTCTCTGTGTGCTTTAGGGAAAAAACGGTTGCTTTATATTGGCAATCAGGTCCTTAGTTGATGAATTAATCTCATTGCCATTCAGAGAGGAAAAGGTTATTCATATTATTGGGCCAATTTATACAGGCGCTCCCCCACACACACACTTTGAGACTGGAGGAAGGAAGGGGACTTAAGTTTGACCTTGAATGGGAAAGAGCCTATGCCCTGAGTTACATTTTGTTTATTTGTGGAGACCAAGTGGACTTCTGGTCAAGCTTAGACTGGCCTCGTTACGTCGAGTACATAGAAGAATTAAGGAAGGAGAGTTCTGCCCATGAAGCGTGGCCTGTGCTCATCCACGCTGTGCATCGAGTTTGTTCTGTGAGACTTTCAATTCAACAGGATCTGGTGTCCTTGGTTCTGGCTCCGGAAACACCGGAATATGCAGTGCATTTGGCTCTGGGCATGACCCCTTCGCCTCCATCCCTCCCTCCCTGCCTGCCTTCCCCCCCCCCTTCTGTTTTACCGTCAGGATGCATGGTTTTACCACAGACATTCCTGTCTGTTTTGAGCGCACAGGATTCAGAACATGGTCTTGGAACCAGGACGTCTGCTACCAGAGCATGTGACCTCTGACACCCGTGTCTTTGGAGGAGTGATGTAGACACTCTGGATTTATCTTCTTGTCTTGGCCATTAGGCTGCGTGAGGATAAGTGTCACCCAGAGTGACACCGTCTGTGACTGAAGCTGAGAACTTACACCCGTGTTCAGTGGTTTTCCCAGACCCAAGGCAGCAAGCAGCCAATGTAGCTTCTCAAATCTGTTTTCATTTATGAACTTGCAAATAAACACACAACAGTTAGATTCTCCAACAGTGACCTGATTTTCCTGGCACTGACATAGGAACATTGCAGATGAAACTGATGATACCACCTTTTAGAGTTTGTCTGTCTGTCCTTCCTACTGGGTGCCGTGGTGCACACCTGTGATCCCAGAGTTTGGGAACTGTCACTTAACGTGGTTGGATTTAGAATCACCGTGGAAACGCACTTGTGGGTGTGCCGATAAGGGTGTTTGCAGAGAGGTTTAACTGCAGAGGCAAGACACATCTTGAATGTAGGTGGCAGGGATCTGTGGGCTGAGGTCCTGAAGTAAGAGGAGGAAGTGGAATGCTAGCGGACATCCTCCTCTGCTTCCTGACTGGACACAGTGTGACCAGCCACCACACGTGCCTGTGGTCACGACATATATCCTCCATGAAGGACTATACTCACCCTTAGATGAAGAGCCCAGGAAGTCCCCTTCTATTCTTCAGTTGCTTTTGAAAGATGTCATTGGGAAAGCAGCAAGAAGAGTCAAAATACATAGAGGCAGAAGGATGAGTTCAAGGTTGGCCCACTCCATTGCATCCCAAACCACCGTCCTCTGTACACACAAAGAAATGAAATAATTTCCTTAGTTTTAGGCTGTGCATGGTGGTATACACCTGTCATCCCAGCCCTTGGAAGCCTGAGGCAGGAGGCTGGAGAGTTTGAGGTGAGCCTAGCTACATAGTAAGACTCATCACCCAAAAGGACAGAGGCAGAAAAGAAGAAAGCACACTTTATTCGTCTTGGATCGTCTTCTGTAGGATGTTTTGACTTGTTAAGATTAACTTGCCCAGTCCCCACTATACAGATGGGATGACTGTCATTCAGGTCTAAGAACTGCCTGGAACTCTTCGTCTCGGGAGGTCCACATTTGCATCAGCCACAGAAGATCCCCCGCCCCCCACAATGGGCACAGACATCATGATGAGGCCCAGATTGGGCCAAACAGGACAGAAGGCAAGAGCTTTCCATTGGCAGTCTTTCTTAATCCCTCTATGTACCTGACATCCCAAAGATGATCCCATCTCTCATAGATAGGTAGATAGGTAGGTAGGTAGGTAGATAGATAGATAGATAAATAGATAGATAGATAGATAGATAGATAGATAGATAGATAGATAGATAGATAGATAGATAGATCAGGTTGATTAAGGACCGGATGTTAAAGTTTCTTGGTAAATACTACTATGAAAGGCATTTGTTTAATCCATTTTGCTAATCATCTTCCTGCAGCTGGCCCATCTCTTCCTCCATGTTCAACATGACTGTCAGGAGACAGCTCCAGAGCTTCCTTTCTGCAGCTCTGAGGTACCTGAGAGGAGGAAGCTAGGTCTATGAGGAAGGAGTGGGGTGGTTCTCAGATTTCACTGAGGATTTGCTTGGTTTTCTTACAAGGTTCACTGACTTATACAACATCCATCAAGCTTATTACTACATAATTAACTTCTTTAAATGATATCAGAGGAAACCATTAAAAGATAGCTTTCATTCTTAATTGCATATAATGTTTGGTATTTCTGATACTCCTTTTTGGAAATTTAAGAAATAAAAAGCAAGAGAGCTGTCCCAGGCAGAAATAATGGATGCTAGAGGCAAAATGTGTAAGTTTGCTGAGATATCTAGAGGCTGTGCGGACTGACTGACCTATCACAGTTAGGTTTGGTAAATACCATGTTTGATGCGTGTACTGGCAACAGAATCACCTGACAGCGTACCCCATCTTTCATTAACACACAGTCGTCCGTATGTACATGCACCCAACAGACACTCATGAATGTTAAGTTGGTCATAGTGTGGATAATTGAAATCTGGAAGCTCGCACACATCCCCTGAACCGACGGTCATGCCTGTGTCACCAGTGTCTAGTTGATAAGAGAGTTTGAAAGAAGAGTTGACAAAGACAATTTAAGTATTTTGCTGTTGATGCTTTGTTTCTCTCCACTGAAGGGTCCAGTCCTTCACTGTGGGGAAGTCATGGCAGAAGGGACATGAGATGTCACATGGCCACATTGGGTACACAGTGATGAAGCAGAGAGCTGAATGCAGGTGCTCAGCTTGCTTCTTTTTTTTCTTTGTATCCAGTCCAGTATATCCTACCCATGGCATGGTATGCCTTACTTTAAGGAAGATTCTTTCCTCCTTGGTTAAACCTCTGTAGAGACTCTGTTACAGACATACCCAGAAGTGTGTCTCCTAGGCGACTCCAAATGCAAACAAACTCACCATAGAAGATTCACCACCATGGGGCCCGAGCTAGCATAAAAGACACCTGGAACCTTAGGAGTAAAGCGGCAAATTGAGCACTGCCCCGAAGATGGCCACAGTATAACAACATACTGCAATCACTGTTAGGTAAATGCCACTTCTCCTTTAACAAGACAACAAATGTGTTCAGTGGAACTTGAGTCTAAAGTTGCTCCACTGATGATCTGGACAATTTGATGTTCCGTGTGAGTGAGGGGCTTGGGGGGACCATCTGGAAATGTTTGAAATACAGATTTTCCAAAGAAAGCCCCTCAAGCCAGAAGCCATATCCCAACTCTTTCCATCTGACCACATCAATTCTGCAGGGGATATGGTGTCACCCCAAGATCCACTTCCCTCCTAAACAGCTGTAATATGATTTTAAGATTGTTTTGGGATTCTGAAGGGAGAGCAAACAAACTTCAAGCAATCCATCACAGAGCTGCTTGCTATGCAAGTATGAGGACAATGTTTAGGATGCATATTAAAAAGCCAGATGTGGTGGCAGTACGTGTATCCCCAGCACTGAGGAGGCAGAAACAGGTTAATCGCCGAGGCTCCATGGCCAGTCAGCCTAGAATACTTGTCAGGTTCTAGGTCAGTGAGAGTCCTAATCTCAAAATAGTGGAGAGGATCTAAGGCAGTGGTGGTCAACCTTCCTAATGCTGTGCACACACCCCACACGACCCCACACAAACACGGATATGCACACAGGATCAATAATAGACATTTTTAAATCCACTTGATATATTTTGAAAATGGGGGAATCAAAGTAGACTAGGTTAAATTTATAAATACAAAAAAAGTAACAGAACGGGGTGGGAGTCCTCGGTGGCTCAGTGGTTAAGAGCGTGTACTGCTCTCATAGAAGACCAGGTTGAGTTTTCTGCATCCACATGTGGTCACTCACCTGTAACCATAGCTCCAGCAGCTCTGGCCTTCTTAGGCACACTCATTCATATGGCATTACACACATACAGAGACACATACTCATAAATAAAAACTAAAACAATAACCCAGATCCCCACAGAAAAGGACTGTGGAAGAGCAAGGGTAGTTCATCATTAGACAAGCCTTGTGCTTTCAGCATGAAGGAGATTTTTGTTGCTTGTTAATATTTTAGAACAGCCAACATGGGGACCCATTGATGGTGGAGGAAGCCATCCCCACCTAATGACGTACTTTAACTTCTGTGTCAGTATATTTTTGTTAGAATCCATCCCACCTGTGTCTGTCAGTTCCTTTCCACTCGCCGCCTCCCATGACAAACTGGCTCATGTTTCTGCCTCACACTCTAAGCCAGTTATTAATATCAGCCCAGTGAGCTCTGCATCCACCAGGAGCATATGGTGTTTTTGAGAGGCAGAGCGACCATCCCCGTGACTTTTGGACTTGGCCCGTTGAACCCCTGAACAGTGAGTGCTGGGTTTGTGTTTTTAAGTAGTGTTGCCATAGGAGAGCTTAGTGGGACTCTTGTTTGCTTCTCATAGGAAACAATGGATGGTAAAGCCTGCTGAGACTCACAAAACCCATTTCCACTGCCTGTATTTCAACATCCCTCCAAGTTTTATGAGCCTGATAGGAGAGATTAATGAATTAGAAGCCTACTCCTTGTATTTCAGCTTTGGCTAATGGCAGGAGAAGCAGTTTATTAATAATACTGGATATAAAGGGCTTGGCTAAGGCATGGAGCTGCAGCTTGACACATCTTCCTCTGTTGCCTCTCCAGATAGAACCCCAGGGCTTCCAAAGGGAGTTTTCACTTACAGGAATCCATGTGGGAGAGCTGGAGGAGGCATGAGGCCCTGCTGTTTTTCCATGGTCTAGGTTTGGGGCAGAGAGGGCCGTCTTGTTGGATGGACCCACTGCTTACTAGTTTCATAACCAAAGGGCTTTATCTTTGCAGCTCTCTTTGTAATGGTCCCTTCTCAGAGACCTGTGAAGTAGGTCACTGTGTTTGCTGTCTGGCAAGGGAGGATCATGGAATTCAGAGAGCCGGATGGCTTGCCCAGTCCTCCTGAGCAGAGCTGACGACACAGTCCTTCTGGGAAGCCATACACTAGCATAGCTCTCTGTGGAGGTGGTATGGGTTCCATTCCTGAGCACGTGTGCACATCTAGATAGAATCTTACCAGAAGCATTGTGATGAATTAGAAAGACACAAGTGTGGGCCAGGTAAGGGTAGTTGTGAGACTGAATACAGGGACTCAGCCCCTCTCGGCCTCAGTTTCCCCACTTAAGAAATGCAAATTGTTACTTACCTTGCAGAGTTTTGGATGTTTGCTAGTAATGTCTATCACTGGCCACGAACAGTGACAACTATTTTAATATTGCCTGAAAAATCCTTCACTCGATGTGTTTTCAGGATCACCTACCATTTCCAGTTCAATTGCAGAGCCTCCAAACACCGTGCTTACAGGGAAACATTAGTCTGAAGAAGAAGCTGGTGTTGAACTGCCTCGCATTTGATGTCTTTCAGAACAGTGTGTACTGCACTCGTGTTGTGAGCGAGTGGGAAGATCCTATCTTGCTTACAACTCGAGACGTAAGGCTACAGCTGGGATCAGAGATAGTGGGGTGGCCCCACCCCTAGACCCCTTGCTTAGGGACAACCAGCATCTCCTTGTGTTCCCCTGCTGTGCACTTCCGTTGAAATCTTTGCTGACACAGCCTAGAACAGAAGATTGTTGGGACTCCGGAGGCAGGATGGGATTTGTGTTTTCCTCTGTACGTTTATACTATGAAAAGGCGTACTGCGTTTCCGCTGTGTAAAGGCACAGTGCTGGGCCAGAACTGCCCATGAGCCATTCACGTGGTGGGAGAAAAAAATGGTTATTGTATGAGTAACTCCAATAAGAGAGTGGGCTTCTTCGTGATTCAGAACTTTGTGGGACCCCTCCCCACAACGTGAGTATCATAATCTTCATAATGGCTTGATGAGCATAGGGAAAAAATGACTTAAAGATAAACCTTGCTGGGCATGGGAGATGATAGCCACGTGCTTGGCACACAAGCATGAGGGCCTGAGCTGAGATCTCCAGTGTCTATACAAAAGTTGAGTGTGGAGGCTGGAAATGGCTCAGTGGTCAAAACCATTTGCTTCTCTACAAAAAGACCCAGGTTCAGTTCCTGGCACCCACATGGTGGCTCACAACCATCTATGACTTCAGTTCTAGGAATCCAATGCCTTCCTCTGGCCTCTGTGGACTCTAGGCATACCCTTGGTGCACAGACGTACATGCAGGCAAACACCCATATTCAGACAATTTAAAACAAAACAAAAAGAACGGTGTTTGGTGGTGCGTGCCTGTAAACCTAGTGATGAGAGAGACCATGGAGACAAGCAGATCCTCGGAGTTCACAGGACAGCTAGCCTAGCCAATCAGTGAGTTCTGGGCTCAGTGAGAGACTTTGTTTAAAAAAAAAAAAAAAGACACCTGATATTAACATCTGGCTTCCACACATACATGCACACATAAGCATGCACACTGACACATGTGCACAAACCATGCATGTACCCCTGCCCTGCATACATGCACACAAAAATACAGCTCACCATCCCTGTAGCCACCAGAATAATTGAGAGTCAACATTGTTGCCAGTCCTGAAGGAAGCCATAGTTTCATTTAAACATGAAATGGTGTTCTCCAACCAGGCCCTCTGCATTATTAGTTAAATATCTGGAAGCTATATAATTATGTATATTCAATATATTATATATAACATATATATTCAATATATATTATATAACATATATATTATATATGTTCAATATATTATATATAACATATATTATATATATAGAAAAAACATTTTACAACAGTGAGCTGTTATAAATGAGCAAACCATGGAAGCAAGCTAAAGCTTTTACCAAGTGCTTTTATGAGAACTCAAGCTCAAAGATTCTCCACTCTCCATTCCTCATTTCCAATCCAGGAATGACATTCATGTGGTCAGCTAAGTTCTGCATAGAACAACCCCCACCGTCCCCACCTCCCCCTACCCCCATCACCACCACTACCATCCAGTCCATCCGAATTCCAATACCTGTTTCTTCACCCCACCTGAAGGGTGGCTGGTGGGTGCTCTGTTGCACGCTGGGGCTCTCATACCAAGCCTGGTACCAAGAGTATCCAACCAAAGCTTGGGGCATTTCATTGGGCCTTGTAAGAGGGCACTCTGACTGTGAGTCATGGAGAGGGTGGGAACTTAATGGATGATAACATTTTGACCATTTGGATTGCAGACTGTTTCTAATACCACTCAACAATACCTACGGAAATTAAGGGTCAATGTACAACTTACTTAGTGGCGAGCATGTAGTGGCTAAAAACCCCAGCCCTTCAGGAGCCCCAAGAGTGGATGAGGAAGAGGACACTTATTCATGAGTACAAAAGGGGTTTGTCTGAGGGCCTGCTGACATTCAAGCATCTGAGGCGTGTGTGGGATATGATGATGCCATGAAAAGAGAGGTATGATGAGTCGTATGGGTGAAAGAAAAGGGAGAGAAATGGCTTGGAAGGAAAAGCATGGGCCGAGTGGTGAGAGCCAGGTCCTGGAACCCCTCTGCCCCCTGGCGGGCACCTGACAGTCAGGTGGCCCTTCCCAAGCGCTACCAAGCTAAAGTAGGGCTTTGCTGACCATGTGTCCATTGGTTTCACCCTCGTAGGGCTCTCTCTCTCGCTCTCTCTCGCTCTCTCTCTGGTTTTTTTGAGACGGAGTTTCCCTTGTGTAGCTTTGGAGCCTTTCCTGGAACTCACTCTGTAGCCCAGGCTGGCCTTGAACTTACAGAGATTCACCTGCCTCTGCCTCCTGAGTGCTGGGATTAAAGGCTTGCACCACCACTACCGCCTGGCCCCTCCTAGGGCTTTCTATCCACAGGTCCGCCTGAGCCATACCCTCACTCTTCTCCTGGCTGGGTACTGAGAAAGGCTGGCTTTCTGATTCTGATGATTCATCTCAGTATTTACTGAGCACCACGCAGCATGCTGGGTCCTTGGCTTTTGTTTTTATCAGTCCTGAGAAACTACAGCAGTTAAGCCTATGGCCTTGGTGCCAAACAGATTTCTTTCCAAATCTCATCACAGCTTGTTCAGTATATGACCTTGGAGAGACTATCGATCTCTCCGGGCTTTGGTCTCTCCAACTGAGAGAAGACTAGTGTTAATTTGCAGCTGCTGGTGTTTCATGAGCCTAACATCAAAGTGTGGAGGGTCAGTTCATGCTAGCGATGAAGGAAATCATTCAAGACAGACGTTATTCTCTGTTCTCCCAGAGAAAGGAACATCCCTCTTGCAAAGACTACAGAGCCAGCCAGGATCTAAACCAGTTCCATCCAGCTCCAGATCCTCCTCTTTTTCCCTTCTTCGTGTTCACTGCCCAAATGTGGCCAAATATGTCTTTGTTTTTAGTTGAAGTTGGCTTTGTCAGATTTGTTGTGTGACCCTGACCTGCCAGATTATTTCCTGTCTTCCCTCCTGTTTTACATTATGTTGAGCTTTCTGGTTATATGTTGGCTTGAATCAAAAAACGCAGGGGCAGGGGGATAGGGGGGTAGGTGACGAATGCAGATTCTTTACAAATAATGAACTCTGGTGAAACACAGACCAACTACTTTAAATGTCAAAAGGTTGCTAGGCAGTTGTGGCTCCAGCTTTGAAAACAATGACCAGTGACCCTGACCAAGTCTGTACCTCTCAAGATCTCATGTGTCAAATGATGATGAAAAATGAAAGGATGATGAAAAATGAAATAGCATTCTGGTGCCAGCATCTCTTTAATACTTCCAGTACTAATTATTTTTCCTAGCTCAAAAGATGAAAATCACCTTGAAATTATGTCATAATCAGTAAGCAGGCTACAGCAATCAGGGCTGCAATAATTTAATGCCGTAGGTACTTCCTTTATTTTCATACATGTTTTCTCCTATCCAAGGTTCATACTGACGAACAAAACCTTTGCTCTGTATTAAGTCCCTCTCTATGATATGATTCAACTTTGGGCATCCTTGAATGGGGCCATAGTTAGCCAAGAAAATACAGCTTGAGCTGACAGTTCAGAAGTTCATAGAGCCCACAAAATCTACTTACTATTGAAAGTGCATACATTTCCAGTGAATTCCCAGACCACTTGAATTTGGGGACCTTAGTGGCTGCAAATCTCAACTGTACCATATAATGAACTGCAGGCCCTGACAGTCCCGTGCCAAATGTTTGTGTCCTGCCAACAACCTGATTCAGTTTCCCAGGTACATGCAAGCATGAGAGAGAGAGAGAGAGAGAGAGAGAGAGAGAGAGAGAGAGAGAGAGAGAGAGAGAGAGAGCGCAAAAACATCTTAACAGATTTTCATTGGATTTCTCAAGGTCAAAAAGACAATCTTAGTGAACATAACCCTCACTAGAATGCCAAGCACTTT